CTCGAGGGAATTCTCACTATATAGATCTCCTTAGAGTCTCTAAGTCTATCCTTGTCTCGAGTACGAATCTTGTGCTTCCAGTAGTACGGGCCCAATATTACGTTCCACTCAAATCTGTACCTTCCTCAAGAACCAAACCGACTCCTCTAAGTCACCACACTAGGACTATATACCAATCATATGCTAGAAAACATACATATCCTAGGCTCTCCTAGGAATCCTCAACCCCCACCGCTCACAATACCGAGAACCTTAATCAACACCATTGGTTGCCTTATGCATGCAAGTTATACACAAAATGGGATCACATAGACTGTGAAATCATGATTCTACCCGAAGTCCACAACCAAAAAAGGAGCATGAAACAATGCAAAATCAATCATTCTAGGGTTGTATAATCATAATTGTATACAACTTTGAAAGCATACACTTAGCAATTAACTGAGCCGATATCAATTCCAAGTAATACATAGCATCCAGTCTTCCTTGGCAATAAGGCATCACATAAATCAGGCAATTCTATCATACGGTTCCTAAAAATATCCTTAGCCCTACTTAAGCATGCAATGCACATATCAATCATACTAATCACAATACAAAGGTATGGGTAATTTGGGAACTACTTACTTAGGCTCGACTGACTGCACGCATCACACCCCCTTTTTAATTAATAAACATCTTTTCAAAATTTTGATTTCTTTTTCTTTGAAAAGATTATCATTTCCTCAGTTTAAGTTCTAACACACCCGAAAGTGTATCTGAATCCCTCAAACCAAGGCTCCGATACCAACTTGTAACGTCTCAAAAATATGGATAAAATTTTCATTTTTAATTTAATTGAAAACCATAAAGTGTTCATAACAAACTCAACAAAGTATCTCGGATGAGAGAAATCATTAGAGTATAAATCCAAATCCTAGAGAAAATGCGGAACATGGGTGGATGTGCTGCAATCATGTCGGACCCTTCCCTTTTGTACCAGAAGTACCTGAAACTACAAACATAACTGTAAGCACAAAACTTAGTGAACTTTCCAAATTACCACATACAACATACACATAATTATAACAACACATGGTTGTGTCAGGTCCGTATCAACCCCAAATAACAACAATTAATTGTGTCGCGTCTGTATCAACCCGAGTCTATAATGACTTCAACACCAGATTAGCCCCATATAAATCATGCAATCACATTAGTCAAATTTATATAATAACATACATTCTACTCATACAATACAATGGACCGACCTTGATGCCTTTGACTCACTTAAGGTGGCAAGACGACTCACCTCACAAATAGATGAAAAATAGCTAAACGGGTCTCTGTTTCGAAAATCAGCTCAACCGAACACCTATTTAATGTCAATTGACCAAACTCAACTATAAATCAAAATATCCAAAGTACCTCCAAGTCAATCCTAGCCAAAACAAGGTCAAAAGTGAATGTCAATGGCCAAAGTTAACCCTCCACGTCGTGGCCTTCAAATGCCAAAACATATGTGTTTCCCCGAGTCTCCACATCGTGGCAGCCAAGGCCATACCGTAGGAACTCGGTCCAAAACATCTTAACGAGTTAAGGTGAATCCTCCAATTCCACAAGTTCCAAAGTCCAGATCCAATCATTTCTAATGTTCAAATGGGTAAAGTTTCTAGCTTTGTCCATTGAGATCCACCAAGAGGTTTAGATCTCAAGTCCTAGATCCCCAAAGGCTAATAAATGCCAATGACTTAATCAAGAAGCACTTAATTCCTTAAGCCACAAACTCATTTGCTCCACAAGGGCTTATAACACAAAAACCTTTTCTAAAGATGGATGGTTTAGATAAAAAATACTTAAAAAATGCATTATGTTTGTTGGTTTAGATATAAAATATACTTAAAACATTGTTTGTTGGTTTAGATATAAAAAATTGTTTGTTAATTTTTGTGAATAGCCTTTATTTTGTTAGTTTATATCCAAAAAATTATTGGCTAAGATTTAAAAATTATTTGTTGGGTTTTTTTAAAGAACGTTATTGGTTTAGATTCAAAAAATTATTGGTGATAGTGATGCTTGAATTTTTTTTTGATAAACATTAATAGCAAAAAGTAAAAAAAAAAATAAAAAAATTATATTGAAAAAACAATCAAAATAGTTAAAAACTGAAATTTTGAAAAATATATTAAATTACAAAAACTACACCTATTTTATAAATATTTTAAAAAATATATCGTAATAAAAAAAAAAAAAAAAAAAACTCCCAATCCAATCCGGTCCACATCCACCCATTTTTGAAACGGCCCGGTCCAGAAACTTTTCCTAGTCCAAATGCTCTGTCTTAGATGGGAGTCAACGGAATACGTATAATAGATGGTTTTTTCCACTATTATTCTCACGTTGAAGTACAGAGCTTAGATTCTTACACATAGATAACCAGGGATTTGTGAGCAAGAAATCGGACGAAAACAGTTTTGAGTTGGAAAGATATGGATGCCTACTGCTCCGATTGCAAGAAGAGCACGGAGGTGGTGTTCGACCACTCTGCCGGAGATACGGTCTGCTCCGAGTGCGGACTCGTTCTCGAGTCCCACTCCATCGACGAGACATCTGAGTGGCGTACCTTTGCCAACGAGGCCGGGGATAACGATCCTGTCCGTGTCGGTGGCCCGACCAATATACTCCTCAACGATGGCGGCTTGTCGACGGTGATTTCAAAACCTAACGGCGTAACTAGCGATTTCTTATCCTCCTCGTTAGGCAGGTGGCAGAATCGAGGCTCCAATCCCGACCGGTCGCTTATCTTGGCGTTTAAAACAATTGCAACGATGTCTGATAGGTGAGAATTAGCCTTAATTGTTTCTGTTATGTTGATTTAGGGTTTTGATGCGTTTAATTTATCATTCAGGTTAGGCCTTGTTGCTACAATAAAGGTACGCTACGCCCTAAATTCTATCTCCTTTAAAGTCATGTTTACATTTCAATTTATCATTTGATTTATGTTCAATTTTTAGGATCGAGCTAATGAGATATACAAAAAGGTTGAAGATCAGAAGTCAAGCAGAGGACGAAACCAGGACGCCATTTTAGCAGCTTGTCTGTACATTGCCTGTCGTCAAGAAGATAAACCACGAACTGTAAAAGGTACATACAAATCTTGATTTAGTAAATCTGGCCTCATTCGTATATATGATTGTGAACTGATTTTTTATAAAACTCTGTTGATGCTCAAATAGAAATCTGTTTGGTTGCCAATGGAGCCACAAAGAAGGAAGTTGGGCGTGCAAAAGAGTACATTGTGAAGCAACTGAAGCTTGAAATGGGTCAATCAGTGGAAATGGGGACTATACACGCTGGCGATTTTATGGTTAGTTTGATCGTCTTTTTACATGTATTTTGGGTGCTTGATTAATGATTATCAATCAATTGTGAAAAATCATAGAGACGATTTTGTTCCAATCTTGGTATGACAAATCAAACTGTTAAAGCTGCCCAAGAATCTGTACAGAAGTCTGAACAGTTTGATATAAGGTAACTAATTCATGTCTCTTTATGTAAATCTGACATATGATCTTTAATATATATTCATATTCATTTGCGCTTTGTGTTTTTAGGAGAAGTCCGATTTCTATTGCTGCTGCTGTTATTTACATTGTGACTCAACTTTCTGACGATAAGAAACCCCTTAAAGGTGAATTTCTTTCCTTAAGCCATCTTTATCAATGACCATTATACCCTCATCTTCTTCAAGAACCTTGGCTCTATTGAATGCAGATGTATCACTAGCAACAGGAGTTGCAGAAGGGACAATAAGGAACTCATTCAAGGATCTGTATCCTCATCTGTCCAAAATAATACCTACTTGGTATGCCCAGGAAGAAGATCTTAAGAACCTCAACAGCCCTTAAATATTTATTTACCAATCTGCCCTTTTCAGGATATGGAAAAGAGAAGGATTGTGGTGCAATAATTTAAGTCTAAAAAATCATCAATCAAATCAAATGTGCATTTTTTTTTTTTTTTTTTTCAGTTTCGATGTCTGTGATTTTTCTTTCTTCCATTTTCTTCTAATCCATAAAGCTAGATAATGATAATATATTGTTCCACGTTTTCGATCAAACTTAATGCATTTTTTTTTTCCTGAGCTTTTTATATGTGATGCTCAATACACACCTTTCATTTGATAAAAGAATTAACACAGTATGATCTGTATCCAGAACGATATGCTTTTCTGTCATCTAAACTTTAAGTTTTTTATATTGTACGAGAAAGTAAATTTTTAGAAAATAATTACATTTTTTTATAAGAAATATAAGACAGACATGGATTAAATATATTCGTAAGATAAAAATATAATAATGATATCACATCTGTAATTTTAAAATGTACTAGTTGTGAGATCCATGTATGGAATGAGTTAATTTAAAAAAAAAAGTTTAATATAATGATCTAAATATTTGAAAACTTTGAATTTATAAGGAAAAAAATTTATTAAAATTGAATTGTTTTTTAATCTTTTAAATTTAAATAAACAAACAAAAGAAACTAATAAGATTTAATTTGGAAAATTTGAAATTAAAAGATAAATATATTAATAAAACTGATATTCATTTATTAGTATATTTATTATAACTATTATATTAAAATATGAAGTAAAATTTTAATAAAATAAGAAAACTCATAAAAATGATAAAAATGATATGTGAAAAAAAAAACTCAAAATAAGCATAAAATGATATTTAATAAATTGAATAAGAATATGCCATGTTGTAAAAAAAATTTATTTATTAAAGGGGATTGATAAAGTTTTTTTTTTTTTTTTTTTTTTTTTTTTTTTTTTTTTTTTTTCTTTTTTTTTTTCTTGCATTCCTTGGATGCCAATGGTGTGGTGAAATTGATGAATCTATCTATTTGTCTTTATAAAAAAGATGCATCTATATAATAATTATAGAAATAAAATAATATAACTAAAAAAGGATCAAAGATAATATAAAAATATTAAAAGGCAAATACTGTCAATTATATGAAAACAAAATAATAATAATAATAATAATAATAATAATAATAATAAATAAATAAATAAATAAATAAGAACACGATTCCATCTTAATTCACATATCTAAATATCCAAAAATAAAATGGTTTACGCCAAAAATAAACTTTCTTATTGTGCAATTTGTAGGACCCATTTTTATTATATGCGTCAATGTCGTACACAAATTATTGGAGGCTAGAGTCGTGGGTGACCTTTCATTCATTTCATGGTTAATCAAAATGATTATACATCGCATGTTATTTTGGATAAAATAGTAGATCGAGACATGTAGCAAGAGGACACAAGATGGCATAGAAAACCAATCTTTTAAAACTTGGGTTTTTAGATGATCCGCTGTGATGATCGATTCACGGGTCAACTGGTTCAACCGGTTGAACTGTCGGGTTAACCCGGTTTATTGTCTTTTTTTATTTTTATATATTTTTAGTTTCCTGCATAATGCATAAACATATAAAACCAATAATTTGATGTACACAAAGTTTAAATACTGAAAAACATTAAAGAAATGACTCGTTGTTTTGGTGTTCGCTACTTGTATCCAACTATCAAAACCCTATTAAATCGGGTCAATCCGGTTTTAACCGGTTTAACATAAACGGCCGAACCGCGGTTCAAGAGAAACCCGGCCGGTTAACCCGGGTTTTAAAACATTGTAGAAAACAGTATCATGTGATCTTCAAACTTCTAGCAAACAAGTCGTACTTTGTCCGAATCAAAATAACTACTTTTTAGGTTTTAGAAAATGACAATCAATCAAAATTTTCTTATGATCTCGCTTGTAATTTGCATGTTGCTTACGCTTAATACTTAGGAGTGTCTCAATCTTATATTTTACTAAGATAAGGTTTAGGTCCTCAATTCAAAAGGATTCCATATTCTTCAAACTTAACTCAATATTAATATATCTCTAATCTCAATTAGTCTATCACTAATTGTTCTATAGACCACATTACAATGACCAATCTTGACTCTTGAAGATGAAACACATGACACAACAGTGCGATCTTGAAAACTTAAATGTCGTATTTATCTTCTATTATTCTATCTTGATTTTCAATTGTTCAAATCCTCAACGTCAAATGGTATGTGTCACTTTTATTCAAGTTTTCCATTATTTACTAGGGTTATCCCATTAGGGATAACTATTTTCAATTATACATTGATTACATAATACATATATTCAATTGTCAAGTCTTGAATACTTATGTGTGGATTTTGCTTTTGAAATTTTTGAATTTGTGTTGGAACGAACTCAAGGAAACAATCAGCGAGTTCATACTCTCAAGCAACAAGTATTTACATTAATTCATCACTTCTAATATTATGTTTGTTCATTTGTAGTTGTCTTGGTGATTCACAAAAAAAAACATATACATAATAAAAAAAAATTAACTTCGTCATTTATAAACTTTTAAAGTTTATTATTGCAAGTTCGAATCTAATAAAGGGAGGTTTGTAACGTTAATTATAATGAAAGCCAAAGGGCCCCATATTTTTGGTTTGTGTAGATCTTTCATACTGGTTGAGCCGCCCCTGATAACACCACCTTCTTCCACCATTTACCGTGCAACAACATCAAGTTCTGCCGTATTTACTATTCACCTTTCTTCCAACTCCATTAACAATTAGATCGCCACCTCAACCATAGACACACCACCTTTTCATCTCCACGTATATTCCGACTCCAAGAAACTATGTAATTAGCATTGCATTCCTCGGTTATGGGCAATGCAACAATTATGATCCCCTCTGTATACAAATTACAACCACAATGACTCATGAACCCACCGATAGATGAGTGCCCTAATATCTCAAGTTGAGGTGTCCACCTCCTCAGGTCACCACTCCTAAATCCTTCATCTCCACTCTCTCTCTTCATACCCTTCCAACAACTCTAACATTAATCTAACATCTCTATAAAAAAATCCCCTTTTTCAGCATACCTCACCACCCATATGAACTTTTGATTGTTTTTTTTTTCCAATTCCATCACTATCACTTTAATTTATTGTCCAAACAAAACATAAATCACTAAATTGCTTCTTGTTTATTAAGTCAATTGAGTATTTTATTTGATTGTGTGATATGTAATGTAAATAGAATTGAATTCACCAATAGCCCAATACTTATTTGTAATGGATTCGGTGTCACTTTGGTTTTGGATTAATTTAGAGACTTGTCTCCAAACACTTTATTTATGTCATAAAGTATTGAGTAAATTACGTGAAAGATCATTATGGTTTGGTGTAATTTGTGCGTTTGGTGGTTTTTTTTTTTTTTTTTTTTTTTTTTTACTTCGATAGTCCCTATAGCATGTTTTATTGCGTCGTTGGTCGCTGACATATATAAAATTGCTATTTTATCCTTAATATTTTTTAATATATTTTTTTATATATTTATTATTTATAGTTATTAAAATTCAATAGGTTTAATCAAAACATCAAATAAGCTAAAACACAAACAATCGACACAAGATCTTTCTCTTTTCCTACCCATTTCTCATCGGCGGCGACTGAGTTTCTTGGTTGAGATTTGTTGTCGTTTTGCGTCTCTGGTTACCTTCTTCGTACCGCGGGTGTTTGTTGCTTTTTCTAAACTACTGATTCTATGTTCTATGGATCCAAGACCATTAGATTTTGAGAAAGGTCGGTCGATTTTGGGTGGTGGTCGCCGTTGGTGCAAGATATTTCATATGCGTTTCTGAATCGTGCTCATAGAAGAGCTAATGATGCTAGGGTGTCTTCTAATTTGTCAAAGTAACCTAACCGGAAGATGGATGTGACCAATGGAAGATCGGACCTAATAAGTTGTCACAACTAGAAATTCTCCGATCGAAAACCAAGTCAAAAGGGGTCTTGTATATGTAATAGTTATAGCTATATTGCTATTATTATGATATGTGTAATGCAATTTGTAGGAAACTATACTATCCTAAACTCTCATGATAAATACAATCAAATGTGATCTTGGATTTTTTTATGTCAACATAATTAGCATACAAACAATAAAACCAACATGTTAGAGTTTCTTATACACTAAGACCATGAACACTTCCCTAGGAAGCCTCCATGGCCGTGAACCACCTTAAGACAACAAGCCTTGAACATGAACAACTTCCAAGAGGCCACTTTGGCCGTGAACTACCTTAAACCCTCAAAGGTTGGCCGTGAACACCATTTAAGGAACAAGAATGACCATGAACACCATTCTAGGTAGCCTTTAGGTCGTAAACCCCTACACATGAGCATATTAGGCCGTAAACTCAAAAGAGAAAAGGAATATGGAACCGTGAACCCCCTTTGGTGGACCTCCCTTGGAGCATAAACCATGGTCTAAACCCATTTAGACTGTGGACCCTCTTGATTACCAAGATATTACAGTTGTCATGCATGTTTTACCCAATAGTAATCCAACTAAACATCCCATTTAATTCTCATTCCCATGAGAAGTAGCGTAAACCCCTTTTCTCAATTCACAAACTCATTTCCTTTCTGAGAATCCTCCATGAACTCTCCCAAGAACTCAAGTCAAGCTCCAGAAAACATTTTCTTCACCATTCCTTCCAAGTTCCTGCTAGCAAAAATCTTCAAGAAGTTCATCCAACACTTCAAGTGTTCTAGGCTCCAATTTCTCACATCATCTCTCAAAATCATCCACCAAATCCATTCTTTTAATGTTTTCATTGTTTTGGGGGAGGATACAAGTCAAGGGTCTTATGAAATCATGGTATAATTGCTTGTCTATAGTTATATGTTGTGATGTATGTGTTAAGATTATGAAACTCCTTATAAGAAGTCCAAGAACTCGAGATTTTAGTTAAGTCTCAAGAGTTTGGACTATATTTCACATATTAATTGTTGATTTGAAATAAAAACTGTTGTTTATATGAATTAATTCATAAAGCCTTATGTAAAGAACCATAAGGAAATTGCTTCAAAAATTTGCTTAAACAAAGTTGTTGGCATAAGATTTTGGAGATGTAAAAATTATGAAAACTTATATTATTTTGGACCATTTTTGGCCATAAGTATA